GAAAAGGGGTTACTGACTTACAGGTATTTGTACTTATAAACTGGGAGATTATAAGAAAGATACTGTATGTATGTGTCATGTCTAACTATTCAAGTTTCACTTGTGTCTTCTCATGTTTGCTTTCTTTGTCTTGTCATTGCTGTTGGTGCTGCCATTGCTGTGACAACAGTTAAGCGATTGTCAGCGTGGCATAATGATTGATGGCCTGGAGTCTGTGTATACTCAGTCAGCGGCAAGCACACTGCAGGTTGTCCTCAAGGCCCTTAAGAATCTTAAACACATCTATGTAGTCAACTTATCTAATTCCTACTCTGCCATGAATGCACAGAAGAGAGAAACTGAGGGTAAAAAATTTTTGCTCACAGACACACACACACACACACACACACACTGTTATATAGAGTCAAAGTTATTTCTTTTCAGTAAAGCAGATGACACTATATATACAGTAGAACTGTCTGTGTCCTTCAGAATCTCTGCAAAAGGAGGAAGTGGACAGGAAGGAGCAGTGGCTCCAGGAACTCGATGAAGAGGAGTATGAATCTCTACCCATGGAGCAGCAGGAGCTCATTACTCAGAGACACAGAGAGAAAGTCAGGCAGCAAAAGCTCAGGTACTGACTGAAACTTGGGTGGACACACCAGACCTCAGTCTCGAGGTCTTTTTAACTTAAAGAATAAGGGTTTCTTGTCTGGTAGTTCAAATCAGATTCATCAGTCTCTTTCTTAGCTGTACAAACTTTCATTCCTTTCAGCCTGGTTAATTTTACCTGTTCATAGTTGCTATCATCAACCCCTGATATTGCTCTGCTCCCTTTGTGGGTACGTTTTATCCATAAAAATGTTACCAAAGAGTAAAGAGAAGAACTACACAGCGCAGAGCTTCCAATCCTGCTTGAATCAACAGATAAAAGATAATCATATTAAAGGACCCAAAACACTCAGAAAAATCAGAGCTGTACTGTGACAGATGTGAAAAGGGAACAGGTTATACAGCAAGAAGTTAAAAAACATTCTAAAGAAATTTGCCACATAAATAATATGAGAGCCAGTCAGAGATCTTAGACAAGACGATATTATAGCCTACAGTTGGTGATGTTACACTGCTGGATGCAAGGGAAGGATGATTTTGGACAACCTGCATGAAAATCCTGAGGCAACCCTTGAAATTGGCCAATAAAAATGACAAATCTAAAAAACCTCTGTATATTGGCAAGCCCATGTTGATGTTGCAATGAACAGAACATTAATTTTGCCTTGTCTGAGTTATATAGTGTAATCACTTGTAATTTGATGCTGCATCATATTTAAACTCCACATTCATTCAGATCATGGAACTTTAATTGTTAAGTCTAGCAAGTATTTCTGCACCACCTGTGAATTGTGCTCTAAATATGAGAGAATGGATAAATGCTATAAAGATCTGTTCTTGCTTGGGAGCCATAGTCTGTTACTGTAGGTGCTGGCCATGTTAGGATTGGTGGATCCTCAGGCTAAACTGAAACAAAGGTGGACTCGGAAGG